TGTCCCGAATATATCGTTTCTCATTGCCTGGCCTAACCGTTTGAATATCATAAATATGATTGAAACGTCCTCTTATTGCCGTGGTAAAACGTAAATTGCATTCTTTAGGAAATTTCTGATATATGTAATACATATTTACATTTCTGTAAGTAATAATTTTTATAAATAAATGATTAAACTAAAATAATAATAAATTCAAAAGAATATTTCATTTTTAGATTTTACTCTAGGACAGCATAGAAAAATGTTTGTTTTAAAAAATTAACCATAAATTTGTTTATCTAGAGGTGAAAGAAAATCAAAAGTTATAAAATTATACTCCGCAATTCAGGCCTTATTCTAAGGTTTTTTCTTACTGCACAAATATCAGTTTTGTGTTGGCCGAGCCGATGAATCCAAGCCTTAATAAGCTGTTCTAAAAGACATAAATAGAAAATAAATACATTAACACAAATCTTGCATCTGTATAATTATTTATTAATTTCAATCATCGTTTAATATTAATCATTAATCATCATGCACAATGTGCACTGTGCCCTTCCATGTGATATAATCATGGGCGTAGCCAGAGTTTTGTTATGGGGGACCAGCCTGACACAAAACTGAATTATTTCAATTTTTCAATATTTCAATTATTGTTCATTAAAATGAAATTTCCATAGGAATCGACAATAACTTAACACACATATAATATGAAACTTCCTTTAATCATACGCAGCGGAGTAGCTTGGGTGTCAGCCGCCCGGGGCGGAGGAAATTTTCGCCGTCCCGTTATTTAGGCATCTCAATGTAAAAGACTAAAATTCAGTTTCGTCACAGAATAAGCAATGAAAAATTCCGTGCTAGTGCAGCGACCTGTTTAAAATAGCTCTACTGGATATTGGAGGTGTATATGAATACGAATGAATCTTACAAGCAAATAAAACAAAAAAAAAAAGGTCAACAGGTTCCGCAGAATATCCCGGGATGAAATTACTAGTTCACCCGGACGGTGAGTCGATTCCCGGACTGTCCGGATGATAGCACTATCGTAGGCGATGCAAATATAGAATTGAATGGTTCAAATTTTACAAGATATTATTATTATTTATTATGAAATTTTGCCGCCTCCTGAAAGATAATTTTGCCGCCCCCACTACGCTACGCCACTGATCATACGTTCTCATATCATTAATATCAAACTCTAGCGATGCCTTAACCCAGTGTTTCTCAACGGGAGCGATATCGCCCCCATGTGAGCGTTTTTCCATGTTGAGGGTGCGATTAGTAACAATTTATATTTTTGGGAGCGAAAAACAATTTTCTGGGTGATATAGTAAAACATTATATTAAGAATAATTAGATATTTTATGCGTTATATCGTACAATAATTAAACAAATAACATTATACTAATCACTAGTCTATTCAATGCAGTACGAATTTGGCGTCAGCCTTGGCCCTCGGCATCGGAATTTTGTAGTGAAGGGGTGATACTACGTAAAAATTTAATTGAAGGGGTGATACTACGTTGAAGGGGGCGACGATTCGTTACAGAGGTTGAGAAACACTGCGTTAACCCGTAGAGACTAAACTGTACAGTACATAGAGATTACAGATATACTTTTCACGTTGGGCACAGAAAGCCGTTGCCCTTTTTTTTAGATATCGGAATTTCTCAACTTTTCAATCACTTCGCATTGTGAGGATATGAGGATATAAATTATTATCGCGGATCCATTCGAGCAATTATTTCAAGTTAAGTCCAATATTCAAAGGTTAATCATAAATTCATTAAGCGGGCCGTATGTTGGCTATGCCTGATCTAGACTTTCAGTGGTACACTACACCCAATTAAATTAGCTTCAGTTTTTTTATTTCTTTTTGCAAATCGGCTCAGCACTTTTTGGCTGTAATTTTCTGGGAAGGGGCACCAGGTTAACTGGGGGGCAGTGCCCACCCATGCCCCTTTCTGGCTACGCCCATGGATATAATTTACTATACGATAAGTGCGATGTGGTTGTGGATTACACGAATGGATTTAAATGACAATATTGATGTTGCTGCTGCATAAAAAATATCAATTGTATGTATTCAAAACAAATGGTAAATCCTATCAACATTCCTTCCATAGTTCTATTTTCGTGGGTCGAATAAAATATACAGTAAAACCTGTATAAACCAGAATCAGACGGGACCGAATATTTTTTACGTGATTGGCAGGTTTCTGTTATGAACAGCTCTTTTTTAATGTAGAAAATTGTTCCGTTCCGAAGAATTTTTTCCGTTTAAGCTGAATTTTTATTTTTATTTTGGTTCAGTTTTGGACGGGTTTTATCGTACTCTGTGCAATTTAGATAAATATTTTAACTTTAACATAAATAGAAGAAAAAAATACTTAGAAAACCCAGAATCAGACAATTAATTACTGCACAAATATGAGATTACTACTGCTCAATTCAAAATTTCCATTATATATTTTGTGTCCAGTTGCAACTTAGAATATGCCCTGCGGCAATCTGTCGTCAGAACTAAATCATAAGCCCAAATTTTATTAACGTAGAACCTCGATTTTGATAAAGATAGAATAATTTATCTATTTGTAAACCTAGATTTCTTTTAATTTCAGAGGACAAATAAATTTAGACTGTGTAAAAATTAATAAAATTTATTATCGTATAATCATACAATTCAAAAATATAGGACATGTTTTATAAACCTATAGCTTAAGTAACTTAGGTTTTTATAATAATAAAACTCACGTGTTAAAACAATGTGTTAAACTTCTTTTTGTTTGTGTATTTATTTTTTATCATTTATATTTAATCAATTAAAATAAGTATTTCAAAATAATTTTGTTAAAATTACTAGATTTTAATCTTAGCATCTATTCTTTACAATGACGTTGACCTTACTAAACTAAAAATAATTGCGATATGATAATGCATTGAAGATTTGTATTAATCTCTTATCATCTATATATAATTTATATCGAAAACAGATTAATTGAAGTTAAAATTAACATAAAAATTACATGTTTGTTACAATCAGAGACGTCCGTACTGCCCTTCTCTTTTCGTCTGTGTTGTCGTTTTCCTAATTCCCAATGGGGCCCCAAATTCAATTATCAACAAACAACAGAAAATTCATGACTTCTGGCCTATTCCGCAAATATAAAAGAAATTAATGAACGTTATTTGTCCATTATCCTATGCAAAGTCGTATGTTGACCAAGATTTGGCCATGAAAACATGGAATGTTCCTTATTTGGAGTTATTCCCGATTGCAATCAGTGCCATCTTATGAGAGCTCTAAACCGACATTGAATCATAGTTTGAAGCTTGCATAATGTACAGTACAGTACACACGATGCCCTTTAGTATAGTCTACGGGTGTAGCTGATTACTGTGTATGATATTTAAACATAAAACGAGGTTGCGTTCTTAGGTAATTCTATTCTCGCTTTCATTTTTTAGTGTTTTTGTCTTGTGGGCACTAAAAGGACCTTTTCTCCCTATATTTATCACGAGTTCGGCCAGGCACTCAATGGAACAGCTGGTTGGTGAGAAACGAACTGGAAGTATCCAGAAGAGATAGCTTGTGAAAAATGTTTGTAAGGATTGATCTCGGATGTTCAAGAGTGCAAGGGAAATGTCTTTACCCGTTCGGCCACCCAGTCTATTCTTAGGTAGCATCAGGACTTGCTGGAGGTTTTGCGGGACCTCGGAAAACGTTATTAGTGATGTTCTAAAATATTTGCAAAGAAAAATTTATATGATTTTTTTAAACATAATTTGCGATGATAAAAGGACAATAAATCAATATACCTAAATTTAATTAAAATACTGTATTTCCCTTATTAATACATCTCTGAAATATCCAAAATTATATTATCAAATTTTCTTAGATATTTGAAAGTGAGGGACCCTTCCGAGCGCGATACGCCGGTTTGAGTCCTGGAAAACAATGTCTGAGCGGCCTTGGAGGTCATATACAGTTCTTTCGAGAAATGCAGAATGAAACCAGGTCACGTTTGTTCAAAATTCTCATGTAGTCTATTAATTAAAAATAAATCGACAATTTTAATTTATTAAATACTATATATGCAAATGCCAAGTCCTTTCTGAATATAAGGTTTTTCCTAGCTCTTTTATGATTGATCTTAGCATTTAATTTCAAATAGTATTAACTTTCGATAAAAGTTTTACTATTGATACAACCTATCATTTATTTCTGCTCAGATGGTAGGCTAATGTAAAATATAGTTCTGAGCCGGCCGGATGGCCGAGTGATCAAGATGGCAGCTCTCAGAGAGGTATCTCTGAGATCGAATCCGAACGGGTCAAAAATTCCAGGAATTTTTCGGGGAGTATTCGTTAGGATGTGTCAGACCCATCCCTTCACTATCCAGTACCCCATTGTGGACCTATAGTATAGGCTATATTGAAAAATTTATATACTGAAAAAGTTAGAAATGATACTGAATTTTTTGGCTTTAACTACTTGAGACAAATACGTAGATTTAATCAAATATTTTCCGTTAGGAAAATATATTCATATATTTTTATTATCATTATAATGGCATTTGACATTCAGATAAAGGAAACGGGAAAGACAAACATCTTATTTACTTTTTCAAGTTTTTAAGCTTTCGAAATTACGAAAGCAAATAATAATTGCACGCTACATTAATTAAGCCAACCATTACAGCATCTAATTACATGTTCTAAAGATGGAATTGTATAAACTATATGATATATAATTATTAACATTTTTTCCACAAGGATTAAATATAAAAACAAACAATTTCACGTCTTCAGCGATTATTAAAATAAACAACAAAAATTTATAACTTCTTAAGTAGTTTATTAAGTGTAATCTTATAATAGGACAAATCGTATTTCATTACGACATCAACCTGAAAAAAAAGAAAAGAAAACAGGACTTTGGATTGCGTATTTAACAATCAAATGTCATCTAGATTTAGTACATATTATTTAATTCCGCGAACTCTCCATGTGTGTAGAAACGTATTTATGACGCACTTCCTTTCACGTGGTACAGAATATCTAATGACGCACTTCCTTTCACGTGGTACAGAGTATCTAACCATCATACGGGCGGGTTTTAACCGACAGATACAAATACAATTCAAGGATATCTGTCGGAAGGTAGGTCATTCGGAGCGATGTGATACTTCTTCCATTTATTTGTAAAGGTTAGTCCTTTAAGTTTTTAATTATATAAATAACTAATTAAACGGTATACATAAATATTTATAAGTGTATAAGGAGATGAATGATACACACGTGCTTTTATTATAGAATTATCAGTACATATACATATGCCAGCTCACTCTTTTAGGAATATAATTACTATCAATGGACAGAACTGAAGATAGTCTATTCAAAAAGTAATGCATGGTACCTGTACATATATATAACAACATTAAATTTCAAAAATAATTTAGGTATAATTTATTTTAAAGATGAGAAAGTTATAAAAATTTTACACATATTTCATATTAAGGAAATTGCTTAATATTAAAGGAAAAAAAAAAATATCAAATTGTAATAATATAGAATAATATAACAAAAAAAATTATTTTGCAATGAATCAATTAACATACAAAAATATACAAAAATTATGAAATCAATTTGCCTGTAAAGTTTGTCTAATGAGATGAGTTTGAATAATTTCTATAAAATTTCAACTTATTATTTAAAAAGAATTAACTTTCATTATTTAAACTTAAAAAAGAATAATTATATTTCAATATGATTTTAATTTTATTAATTGATTTGTTTAGATCTTTAAATACAAGAAAGTTGTATCATTTTATGTACAGTACAGTACAATTTAAATTTATTGTGAAAAGGAATGACAATTTTCAATGTTCATTTTTATGAATTTGGATGTAATAATGAATTAATAAAATGAATTTGTAATATACTTTTTTTTTTTTACTTTATTAAACTTCACTTCAACATTTTTGGGTAACAGTTTTCTTATATTAATTGAATCTGGTATTATAGTAAGTTTATCAAACAGTAATTTCTTGTTTCTATGTATTATAAAAACTTAAAAATATATTATTAGAATTAGAGAACAGTTTTGCTATTAAATAAAATGAAAATCAGACTTAATACAAGAGAAAGTTTGATAAAAAAACAAATATAGTTGCTATGGTAACTTAGCCAAGAAAAATAGATTTTGATGAGAAGTGAACTGCCAATACATTTTGAATATATTTAAATGCTTATGATAAAAATATGCTATTACAAAATTGATTTGGATAATTTAAGAATATTAAGTATTAAGATATATTTTTACTGATATTTAATTTTTTGTAAAAATTCCTTATGTTAAAATAAAAAAAATGTCAGAAATATAATTAAATAGTTGGAATAATTTAATAAATATTTAAAAACTTTTATATTATTGACAAACAATGTATCTTACAGGTAGCCAACTAGATATATTCAGTGTTTTATACAAAAACTTTTTTTTTGATCCAGTATATTAAACCTGAAGATGGGTTAAAAAGGCAGCCAAGAATGTTTGTTTTATTAAAAAAATAATATGTTGGATCAAAAAAGGCTTTTGGATAGAAATAAAATATCACTATAAAATTCTGTATTTTAAAACATTCTTTTCTTTTCAAGAACAACAATTTATCTTTCTATAAAGATTTAAGTTATGTTTGTTCTATTAATTTAACATATTTTTCATATTTATATTCTCCAATAATAAGCTTGACTTATTTTTCCCTTTACAGAATTATATTAAAAAGTCTTCATAAAATACAGATATATACTGTGTAGCCTATCCAAAAGATTTATAAGGATCTATATATTAAGTTGAATATAATTTAGTTTCAACAAAAACATTTTTTAACTATAATAAATCATTGAATTATAAATGTAATAGCATAAATCATTGGATTATGTCTTTATGTTAGGCAGGCATCTGTTTAAAATCCTTATCAGTTTCACTGTAAAGTGATATAGCTGATACTATTCATTTATGCATATAGTAATATTAGGTCAGTCTAGCCTTGAAGTTGTAGAACAAGGATAATATACTAATTCCTACTACAGTTATTTATCATCTAAAGTTAATATTTGTTAATATAAAACTTTTATAAAGTATTTGATACAATTAAAATGAAGTCACAAAGTTTTAATATTAAAAAAGTTCAAATATATTTAAAATATTGCAAAAAGAATTTCAAAACTTCAAGTAAATTAAAAAAAAAAAAAAGAAAAATTGAATCATTTATATTACTAAAACTAAACATTTAATTTATACTATTTTTTATATAGTGAACTACATAACTTATTTTTTTATTGTTATTTTTGTATTAAAAATTTTCTTTTATATTTTTGAATGAATTCTTCAAGTAAAAATATATAAATACAAAAGTATAAATTAATGTTGATTTTTATATATAAATAATCTAATTCTTAGCAAATCAACTTGATTAGTAATTTCTATAAATATTAAATGTCAAATGTACAAACTGCTATTTAATATTTTTCTATGTTGATGTTTATTCTTTTACAGGTGAAGTATGGTGCATTACTCTTTCACAGCTGCAGAATAAGGAGAAATGAATTAACATTATTTTTATGAAGAATTTCAATCAGTATGAAGTTGTTGAAGAGTTTAAAAGGGTACATCTAGACTGCTTTATCTGATCGCTGGAAAGTCTGATTACAACCTGTTAATCTTTGGCAACTTCCTACTAATTGCAGGTTCACACCATCAAAATAATTTGAATTTGTTCCTCCTTCCCAGAACCATGCTTCACCAGTAACAGAATAAGCTGGCATCAACTCCTATGGGGCCAAACTTATTGTACACTCTGTATATATATACTTTTTTATAAGAATAATTTAAAATTTTGAATTTATAATACTTTTAAAAACTATTTTTGCTACTGATTTTTCTGTGCAATAGTTTTACATTATTTTATTTTAAATATTTTTAATAGTTTCATAAATAGTTTTTCTTTAACTAATTTATATTAATATTGTAATACAGTAATTTACTTTCTCATTCTTTGGTCAATTATCAATAAAATCATTATTTTTAGTAGAAAATTACATAAAGTTTAAGCTTTTCATATTCAATCACTTTTATAAAACTTAAACTAAAAGTAAACAAAAATATATTTTCTGTATTTTGTAATCTATTTAGCATATAGTTTCTGCCAATTTTATGACTGTAATTATTCACTATTTATTATTTAATGTTGAACAAGTGTAATGCAGTAGAGCCTCGATTATCCGACTCAATTGGGGACTGGGGTTGGTCGGATAACCGAAAAGTATGAAAAAATCCATTATTAGTGTAGTATATTATTATATCCCATGTAATTAGTATATTAGTATATCGCTATTAACCTACTTCGCTAT